ATATGCGCATTATAAAAAAACAATATAATTAATATTTTTAAATTGAAAAATCAGAAAAGTTGAAAAAAATGATACAAGTTATAGTTTTAATAATATTAAAAAATAATAATAACAATTAATAATAATAATAATAATAATAATAAATAATAATAGCAATAGTAATAATAATAAATAATAATAATAATTAATAATTAATAGTAATAAAATAACAATGTATGCAATGAGATGTTGTATGAATTCTTAATAAATTTCTGCTTTCTGTTTCCCTCTTTCTTTTATATAAAAATACAATAAATTATTAATTGTCTTAAAATAAATGCAAAATAAATTCAATTATTTGTAGTGGCTTATATATGCTTCCTTCTTTTAGTTAAATCATATAATTTAATCAACTATTACTATTAATTTTACCACATATTGTTGCCAATTATATATTTCCATCTGCAGAATTAGTAAGCTTAATTGAAGCTATTGCCATTTTATTATTACAGTAAAACTTTCAGTTTATTTATTTTCTCTTTTCTATCAAAAGTTCATCTCAAAAATTTAATGCACAAATATGATGCACACAAACCGGAAAGTTCATGCCAAATACATTTTAAACACTATTATAAAGATCATAAAGAAAAAAAATGGTAAGGTAAAAAAGAAAAGGAAAAATAGTGTAAAAAAAGAATATGTAAAATTATAAATAATTATCTGAAGTAATTTTTCAAAATTGAATCAGCTAATGTGCAAAGAAAAAAAAATGAAAAAATTTAGCTTTACATTTTGAAATTTATTGGGAGATGATGAAGGTGTTAAAAGTCACAATTGTGAATTTCGTTTGATTGAGCTCCTTCTTTCATTCGTTTCAAAAAATTGCTTTAAATCTCGAACTCGACGTTGTTTTTCCGCATGCATACCATCAATTGGATCCCAATCAAGATTGCTATCTTCATCTGTAATTTCTTCATCCACATCCAAATCTGCGCATTCAGATACCGATTGATAGGTTGATTGTCGTCTTATTTTCAATGGTTCTTGCAATGATCGTTCCCTCACTCGTGAAATTCCTAATCCAGTTTCTCGTCGTCGTATGCGAATCTTAATTATTTGATTGAACTGTTGCAGTAATAATGGTACTTTTTGTTATTGCAAAAATGAATAAATAGAAAATAATTTAGATCATGATTAATTAGTACAAAAAGAAAAAAATTCCTTACTATTGGATCAGTTTGCATTTGACTTTCTATCATTTCTACAAATGGTTTCTGAACAAATTCATCATCATCAGTTTGAATGATAGCTTCTAACACATCGTATAAATGAGTTTGAATTTCCTGCTCAATTAATCTTATCTCATCTGTTTGCACATCACGTACCTGTAATTTATTAAAAAGTAATGTTTAAATATAAATTTAATAATAATTGGCATCAGAAATTTTTATGTATTAAAGTTATATTCAAAACAAATTTAATAAGATATTGACTGAAGAATTCCATCGCAAAATGCCATAAGATTTCATATATGCAATCGAAAAATAAAATTTTACTTATTTTCAACGAACAAAATCAATTCTATTGAAATAAGCAATGTATCAATCAATTACTTCAACATGCTTAAAAACTCAATATTCTGAACAATGCAAAAATTAACAAACCGTATATTCGGGAATGATCGTAATACATTCATTATCTTTCAATTCGATCACTTCGGTCTGCACGATATTATGAACCATAACCGGAGCAGAACATTGTACAGCATCTTCAACCATTTCATTCATTAAAGGATCGGTTATGATAGCCGTATCCATTAGTGTCACCATTAATGTTTGCTCTCCTTTATCGTCGCTAAAAATAGTTCATATTTTCTAATAATATTCTAATGCTTCATCGATTGTAATCCAAAATAATCAAAGTGAAAGGTTTTTACATTATCATGTATATATACATATATCTTATCATTTAGGTATCGTTATTTTCAAAATTATCAAATACTTACACTGATAAAACGCAAGTTTGTACACCCATATCATAGTAAACAGTCTTTGGAAGTGTTAATTCAGTTGGCGATTGAATTAGCGCATTAAGTTCTTTATCATGAATACGTTTTTGAATTTCTTCTTCCACAGCAACTGCTACCGTTTCTTCATCTACTTCTTTAGAAAATAACTTCGGCATGCCGGATTCTTCGTCAATATCTGAGAAGATTGGCGGAATTTCAATTCCACGCGCTTCGGCATCTTTTTGCACCTTCGTCAATACCGATGCTCGTCTATTCTTGCTCCAAAATAAAACGTTCACAAAAATCCGGATAACAAAATGAAATTAAACCATCTAATACTATTATTTCAATTAGCTGATAGGTTGTAATCACCCAACCTATCAGTCAAAATTTCGATAATATAAGGAAGAAAAGAGAAAAAAAATGTAAATCAAAAATTTCTAACATTTTCGAAAATTTTCATATTCCAATTTTACAGATCACCCAAATTTTATCTTATCTTTTCGCAATTAAATTTGTAGTTTAATTTATAATTAAAATCCAAAATTTCATATTTTATTACGAATAATTATTGAGTATATCAAAAATTACCTAAGAAATGACATCAGATATTTAGCTTTCTTGTTATTACCCCACATTTGCATTACACCCGTAGATGCTCCAACTGCATCATTTCCTTTAAAAAAATGTTGAAGGAAGAAATTTTTTTAATTAGGCTAATCTGATATATTAAAATGAATAAAACTAATATTTTACTAAAATTTTAATATTGAAATTATTTAATTACATATTATAGTACCTTTGTTCAAAGATTTTTTTTTTAAAAGAAAGACCGATAGAATTGATTTTTATTTGAGATTACATTTAAAGACTTATAAAATTAGTTTCTACTTATAGCATCATTTCTTTGAATCAATGTGAGCCTTTCCATTTTCATTGATTCGCTCATTTGAGAAATATTTCGTACTAGAACTTACCTTGATCTAATTTAGATTGATATTCGAGAAATAATTTCATAAAAACATTGATGTAAAAATCTTCTAGTGCTGTTTGTATAACATTGATACACATGCTGACCATTGCAAGACCGACTATCACAAAAACAAAACATATTATCATCAGACTGCAAATAGCTTACATTAAATATGATACACAAAAACTTGAAACAGAAATCCTATCAATTTTTAAAATGTAAGTTTCCAACAGAACTTTGACGGAAATTATAATAGTTGTTTGAATTAAATTATAAAAAGATTTTGTAGGTTCCAGTTGGATCGAAAAATTCTTTAACATAATATTGATACATGTCTAAAGAAGTTTTGCTTTAAAAGAAACAGGGCTCAGATTTCATCATGAAACGGCTGATTCTGAGTGCCTAGCACAGAAAGAATTTTTGCGGCTCAATTACAATCCTCATTCTTGGAGAGTTTCAGAAGCCAATGCTGATTATTCGTATGTTTTTAT